CACACACACACACACACACACACACACACACACACACACACACACACGCACGCACGCACGCACGCACGCACGCACGCGCGCGCACGCACACATGCACACACGCGCCACGGGCACACACGCGCACGCGCACACGCGCACACGCTCACACACGCACACACGCACACACGCACACACGCGCGCGCGCACACACACACATACACACACACACACACACTATCTGTCACGTACTACGTTTACGGAGCGTTACTTCTGTAGTAACTTATCTGATAATTCCTCCACGTAAACAGGAGTTCTGTAGTAATTTATGATAATTCATCCCGCGTAAACGAGTGAATTATCGTAAGTTACTATAAAAGTAACGCTCGCGTAAACATAATAACGGTCACGACTATCACTACATATCTCCGATCACTTGCTAATATTTCGCCTCTCATGTGACATCCACATCCTAATTTCGTGGCACTTCGATCCTTGCATGACGCGACCGAAATTTGGAATTAAACGATGGTAGTATTTAACGATGAGAGACTACGGTGTTACGAGCAAACGCGATATATATTTTTAGGTCCTAACTGATGACTAACAGCGCGCTGTCCGCGCAAACGCACTGAGCGACGAGCGCACACGTACGCGTATATGCTGTCTTTTTCAGTGTAGCGACATTGTCATGGGGGGAACCCGGGGGGACGCTCGAGATGTTCTCAAACGCCATCTATCAAGGAAAGAACAACCGTACGGCGACGACGATGACGACGACGTTTCTTAATTGTAAAATTTAACATTTTGGACTTTGCATCGTAATATCTCCGTTCGTAAAGCACGTAGCGAAAAAATAAAAACACTTTTATTATATAATTCAAACCCAAGCTATCGATCAAGCCTACTTAGAACTTAATCCGTTCACTCGTTATTGAAATCTCAAAATCTCGGGTACTCGCAATTCGTGCGTTCGCGTAAAATAGTCACGGCGCGGTCTTGCTTCGCGTGTACTTGCAGCGCGAGACACTACCGTGTCTCTTGAAAAACCATAAAAAAACATGACCATTAATTCTTTATGATTGTTTAAACATTTATTAACTAAAAAAATGTAAATTTGGACGGTTAGAAATTTTTTCAATTATTTTGCTGAAGAGGTTTGAATGTTCAAAAATATAGAGCATTTTTAACAACCATTAAAATACGGATAAAATTGTTTATAACAATTAATAAATTAAAAATATAAGAGAAAAATCATAAAAAATTAGAAATATTCGTGAGACCTTCCCACTTGCATAGTCCAGAGCCAGGATTTAGTTGCACATTTTGGGCCGATTCCCAAGGCGACGCCTCTTATTGCCCCACTACCACCCGAGGCTCAGCGGCCGAGCTGCCGATTGCTTACGTGACGCGTCATCTTAGGAGCGTCGCGCGTGCTATAAGCATGATGGAACTGTAATCTCCCCCAAATAATATTAAATAGCTAGTTATATAGACGGTTAGAATATATAATTATAATTAAGGCAATAGTTTCCGCGCCACCCATGGGGTACTATTGCTGACGCGTTTTCAAGTGGTTTTCCCAGTAGGCCTATTCCACTAAAAAGAAAAATAATTTGAAATTTATTAATGAACGAAAGAGCTAGCTCGCATTAATAAAGTTAATAATTTATCGTTTAAGTTTAAGGAAGAACGTTTATCGGTTTTTATGATTTCCATTTTCGAAAACGAGCATTCACATAAAAATGTGGATCCAAACATGGAAAAAGATACAAAGACCAAAATTTTTAAGATTAGGGTAACTTAAATTATTTAAAATCTTAAAAAAGTCCACTCCTTTTTCTGGATAAGTCTTGAGGGAATAGT